TCGTAAAATACGAAAGTATGAAGAATTAACATTAAGAAAGCAAAGTGTTAGATCAAAACAGACAACACTAAAAGTTATACCAAAGCAAAATATCAATCAGGATAAGGTATTTTATATGCTTTGTGGACAAAAAATGGGTTTTGTGGAAAGCAACCTCACAGGTGTTCAAACATTCCTAATTGGACAGGCCACGGTGGGTAGTCACGCCTAGGCATATAACTTTTTAGTAAAAAGTTTATCTTTGTCTTAAGCAGGCCCCGTTCATTGTTTCTGAGGCATCTCTGAGATGCCTCAGCTTCTAATATGTGGACCACCCTTTCAGAGCCCTTGTTCTAAGACATAACCACCCTGGAGAGAGCACATAATCTTAACTGTCATGTAATCCAATTCCCGCCTTGCTTTCTCCGACATTCATGTCATCTTTATGTTCCTTCCTTAATTCCAAATGTGCAGAAGAAACTGCAAACTGTTTTCTTCAGGAATTTGAAATCTTGTCCCCCAGTGTACTCTGTCATCAGTTTGGCTCAAATAAACTCTTATAAAAATTCTCTACAGGTTTGGACATTTCTTAAATTTCTTAAATTCACCGCAACAGGTAGAATTAAAATGATACAGTGTGCCCTGGCCAATATGGCTCAGTTCATTGGGTGTCATCCCACAGACCAAAAGGTCACGGATTCGATTCCCAGTCAGGGCATATGCATGAGTTGTGGGTTCAGTCCTTGGATGCGGCACATGCAAGAGGCAACCGATAGATGTGTCTCTGTCACACTGATGATTCTCTCTCTCACTCTCTCTCTCTCTCTCTCTCTCTCTCACACACACACACACACACACACACACAGAGTCAAAAATTGACTCTAGAAGTAGCTTTCCCCTACTTCTAGAGTCAATTTTTTAAAAAGAAAATGAAAAAATGGTACAGTCTTTTTTACAGAGATAGAAATTGAGTCAACACTGAAGCAAATTTACTTGTAAATCTTAATTTTAGTAAACAGAAAAAGGTAAATGATTGCTTCATAAGGTGGCCTGGTTTTGCGGGGTGTTTGCTTATCTTTGAGCTCGGAAGTGGTAGCGATGCCTCATTTCTGTCCAATTATGGAAAACTTCACTCTCACACAAGGTCTCCAAATTAGCACTTCCAACCACTACAGCTTCCTGCAGCTTAATAAATGCAGGATCCTGTTTGGTAGCAGGCCACCTATGGTCTGTCTTTACATTTAGTGCTCAAAGGTGATGCCAAGCCAGGACTACAAAGAGGCGAGGAAGGCCAGAAGCCAGGAGATTTCTACTTCACTGTACATCTAAGTTTGACTGTCGTCACGTACTATTATAGGTAACTGACGTCTAACTAAGTGCAAATGAATGCATGAAGATGCCTTTTAAATTAAAGTATATTTAGATTGTGAAAGACATACTCTGCAAAGAAAATAAACTATTCAATAAGGACTCGGCCTTGGCTGGTGTAGCTCAATGGATTGAGCACTGGACTGCCAACCAAAAGGGCCCAGAATTATCACCAGATTATAGGGAGGAAATAGAAAATGCAAGGAAACATTTAAATAACCGTTATTCACTTTGTGAGGCTGCTCTAACTTCAAAGGTGTTTGATTCTGGGATAGAAAAACAGTGTGGACCTGTTCCTAGTAAGGCAGTTCCTAGTGAGGCAGTCATAGAATAATGACAAAGGTCTCAGATTTCCTGGGAAGCTTAATCTCAGATAAATGTAAACTTCTGAAGTCCTATTTCTCTTGTTAACAGAAAAAAAAATCAGATCTAAGGGTCTCTGAAATTCCTATTTGCCCCAATACTTAATTCTGCCTTTTATTAGCTTAAGAAAAATGTTTATCTCAAATATAACCTTCCCAGTTAGTGAGAATAAATATGACTTTGTGTAGCTGACTCTACTGCAACCATTTGAAACAATTATATGCCTCAGTATTTATTAGCTTTTAAAGCTCTTTATATAGACAGTAGAAAAATTTAAGTGAACCAATTTTTTATTGGATATTCTATCTGTGCCAGAGTGCTATTCTCTCATCTAATTTAAAACAAAAAGCAAAAAAACCTTCATGAAATATAGACCTCCATTTTACAGATGAGGAAACTGAGGTTCATAGAGTTAAGTTTAAAAGTCATGATATTGTTCTGGCCCTCAAAGTGCATGAAATAAATTTCCTTCGACACTAAGCCCTGGGTTTCTTATCCACAGCAGCTGTCAAATGTCTGGGACTAACGGCCTCAGATGTTCTGTCCGAGCAGTGTGGCTGTCATTCGGAAGTCAAGGAAGCCATTGTGATGTTCAGAAACCCAGACTTGGCACTGTTGAAACTAGCATTTATTTCCATTGCCACCAATCTAAACCCCACTCCAGCACTGGCTGCCACTTGAAAACTCCTCCTCAGGTTCTGCCTCTTTCCTGTGACGGTGACTCCAGTCACTGAACAGATAAACCTTCAGATGGGGAAGAAGAGCAAGTTCCAAACAGAACACATGGGACTGAGGTCAGTAGCTACGTGTGGCTCTAGGTAGTGACTGAGATTTTAATGCATTTCAATTCAGTTTTTAATGAATTTCGAGTGTACATCTGCCTTCTGAATCAAAAATGTCCTTTGTCAAGTAACAGTTATACTTTACCTTTAGTTCCTCCTGCAGAAATGGAAATTGCATTTATTTGTAAAATACTGTGAAGTCTCAGGCCAACCAGACACCTTGGGACTACTACAGAAGCTCATATCATATATCTATGGCATTGACAGAAACTGTAGTGCAATTTTTTTAAGTCCAGTTACCTAACCATTAATTAAAGTTTCTTGAAACGTACCTTACCTATTACTTTTTCTATTAAGGTTCAGTCTGCAGCCTGAAGAATAGAATTATAGATGCCTCTTTGAAAAGCAATATAAATATATAAATTAAGACTAGAAAGAACAAAGAAGGGAAAAAGAATAAGACTAGTTAAGTAAATAAAAATGGCTAAAAACGGTCACTAACACCCTGAAGATAGAATGTAATATAAGACAAAAGTACTTCCTTTATGTTTAAGAACGGAAAATAAAGCATTACTGATCAAACAGGATAAAAGTTAGCAGTAATGAATCATGGCCAGCTTGCCAGCTTCGGGAGTTAAGCATCAAACTGAATAGGGAACTTTGGTTTCTGGCCAAGAAGCAGAAACTGGATTTACCCTCACACCTTAAATGACTAGAAAATAAACAGAATATGTGAAGCAATGATTCTCGGACATTGGACAACAGATAGACAGGACAGCGACCCCTGGGAGAAGGGGAACAAACGAGGTGAGCTTGCATACGTATCAGTTTATTGCCTAGGAGGTGACTGATTTCCAGAGCCCGGAGGTCTTGCTGAGTTGAAGGAGTATCTTCCTAGAGACAGATCTCCAGAGATCTGGGAGGGGGCTTTGGCTACCTCCCAATATACCCATGTGAGGCCAGGGAAAGCACTATAAGAAAAGAGTAGCCTGAATGGAGAAATGACATTTGTCTGTGCTTGGAGACCCACTTGCTAGGCTGACCTGGGACCATTGCCCAGTTACTGCTGGAGTCCTCACTACGTAATTCAGTCATCACCTGACTCACAACTCAGCTCAGGGCCGACACGCGCCCTGAGCCCAGGCACAAGCGTGCACTGTACTGGTTGTGTGTGGTGTAGAGACTTTCCTGTAGTAAAACTACTATAGCAGCTGTGACTGTTACTGTTAGCTTTTCAGAGGGGAGAATCATTCTCCCTTCTCACAGCCTCCGGTTTCTGGCTACTGCTGGAAGACCTTGGAGCATTTCTGATCTTGGCTTTGTATGGACCGTCACAAACCCTGGTTCAATCTCTCTCTCCAGATTCACACTATCTTAGGGAAGGAAAATTCCCTTAACCCAGACTTTCCAAATCAACACTTTTAAACACATCTAACAGAGCAGAACAAAAATAAAAATAGAGTCATTTTGCCGCATCCCACCAATTTCATTGTTTCTCAAATAGAATGTTTCTGAGTTTCAGGGATATTGTGGATATAGGAGATAAGAAAACTAGACTTAACCCACCGGCACACATTGTTTCATCACTCTGTCAAAATATAAGTCCCGCCTGCATTTCTCCCTAGCAAACACCTATACCACCATCTGCTCTGCCACCACTCTCTTGTCTCCCAATCCCTGTTCTTTCTTACAGTCCCATTTCATTCTCTTTGTTTCTCAATTTCCTTCTCTTTTCCTCATTCTACTCAACTCTAGACTTACACTGATACACTCACCAAATGTGCTCAAAAAAACAACCAGCCATAGGACTGGTGAACAGCACAGCATCTAGTGCCCATTAACTTGGATTCAAATTCTGCACCTGCCACTAACTGGCTGTGTGACCTTTTGCGAGTTGCTTAACCTCTTTGTTTCTCAGTTACTTATAAAAGTGGAACGTTAGTAGTATGTGCCTGGTAGAGTTGCTATGAGGATAAATGAGATAATGTTCCTAAAGCCCCTGGCACAGTGCCTGGCAGATGGTGGGCTCTCAGTAAATGTGAGCCATTATTATCACTAACATTACCTTTTATTTGGGGTTTTTGCTGGTGAGCCACCAAATCATCGATGAAAGGGAATTCTGGTACTTTTTTTTTTCCACAAAGGAAAAGAGAAACAACGTAGGTGCCAGACTCGTGAATTAAAAGGGAAGAGTCCCCACGGAGGCTATGAGAAGCACTGAGTACCGAAGCTCCATTTCTTCACTTGTCCTTTCCCTCTCCCCTACCCAGAAACTCCCAGAAGAAGCTTTAGCATTAGCAGGCCCTCAGGCTCAGAATATAGTCTCACTTCTGGCTGAGCAATGCTGTGTTCGGAATCACTGTTGACCAAAATTCAATCCTTTTAAACCATGTCACAGTGTAGCAAAGCATCAGAAGCAGAAAAAGAGTCATGTGACTTATTTTTTTAACAAGTTGTGGAAACTGTGAAAACGCTGGTTACGCTGAGGAAGAAATAGACTTCACTCACCTGCAGGAGTCTACTTGGCTGATTAAGGCTTGTCCCTTTTGCAAAGCTTCAGCTGCGCAGTCCTTAATTTCTCTGTGTAATTCCTCGTGCCTTGCTGCCAAGACAGGCAGACTTAAACCCTCTGCTTTAAGGAGCTTAAGGTAAGCTTCAACTCTTCCAAGTACATCAAATGCCTGCCAAAGAAAACATGCTTTCATTTTCTGCTGTTCTAGTTTAAAATCTACAGCAATGTGTACATGTAATACTAGAGATTAAGTCAGCCTGTTTAATTTATTAGTTTAATCAAAACCAGAGACAACAAGTTTAGTCTTGGAAAAGAGCTGTATAGTTTTAAGTCTCCATTTAAAGGAACTGATCACAGTTTAGTTCGGCATACATGAATGTCAACACCTTAAAATGATCAAAATAGTTTACATCGAGAACATATCTATACAACAGTCATTCCTGTACAGAATTTGGAGGGCCAGGTTTATTTTCAGCATATTCTGAAATGCATACAAATAATGCATGAGCTATTTTAAAAAATATTATGCAGACTTTCATAACCTGGATGTCTCAGTAATATTCTTAAAAGGAAATTTCCCAATAAATTACACTTTCAACCTGAAACACTATAAGGAAATAGTCAAAAGATGATTAATGTGCTTTTGCCCTTCCCTTTCCAAGTAGAGGACCTTCTGCCTACTCCATCCAAGACATCTGTCTCTCTACAGAGGAGATTAGAATCTGGATCTGAAACAGTGCAAAGATTAAGACCAAGGTAATGTTTAGCTTCCAACGTACAAATAGATTATGCAGAAAAAAACAACTTTTCCAAACCAAGACATTGTCTCAAAAGAAAACTTTTTAATTCTTTAATTTTCTTCCTTTATTAGCAGATCAACAACCACATATGGGGGAGTAAGTTTGTAGAATTAACGTTGATGAATGCTTTTGGTCATCAAGGCATAGTTGGCAGGAAGACAGAGGAGTGTATGATAAAAAGCCAGTAAAAGAGGACTGTAGAAACATGAGGAGAAAAAGACAGCAGAGTGCAATGGTCTGCATAGGTCTACTGCTATTCCGTCCATGAACTTGAGCCTGGAGAGAAGATGAGTTAGGTAAGTTGAAGAAAAGCTGGATAGCAAGGGAGCTCTTGCCATGTTGCCCTCTGGCACACTGGAAGAAGCCACCATACAGTATGCTCTCCACCCACCTGGAGAACAGTCCTTTCCCCGTAAGCTTGACAGTGCCACTGTCGGCGGGGGCCCTGATGTCCACCCTGCCCAGACTGCTGAGTCGGAAGCCGGTGAGGGGCCTGGGCCTACCAGATGGAGCAACAAGGGCAGATGGTCGTGTGAGTCTAGCACTGCTGAGACCTGCGACCAGAGGAGCAAGGCGGAGTTGATGTTGAGGGGGCACAGGCTAAGGCATATGTGGAAGGCCTGGCTATGCAGCTGTGCAAAAGCACCAGCGTCCCTGCCCCGGCCTCCACCTTAGGGAATGGCTTTTTATGGCGGAATTGGAACCAGGGGAAGAAACTGAAATTACCAATGCAATTTCTCAGATACTGTCAGAGTACACATAGGTCCATATTCTGTTCTCCCACCAATGGCCTCGTGTCTCCTGAATCTGCTTTCTGTTACTGAGAATATTAAAACAAAATCATTTCCATGTACTTAGTAGTTGACAAGAAGTAATAATGATAATAACTACAGTTTAAAGAGAACTATGCGCTCCTCCTACGCTATTTGTTTCACGATTACTTTTCATCACTCAACAAACATCTCTGAATGTCTGCTGAGTTTCAAGAACTGTGTCCTTAACCGCCCTGGGAGGGCGGAGGAAATCATCCCCATTACACGGCTGGGGGAGACTCAGTACTGAGAGATTAAATAAATGGCACAAAGGGCTACTTCTACTAAGAGGCAGATCAGTATTTGCACTCAATTTGTCTGACCCTGAGGCTCTGCTCTTAAACCAGGGGCTATGGTACCACATGGCAAAGAATTACTATGGGAAGCTAAGAAAGAAAGGGCATTTCCATGAAGCCTGTTAATCTTAGGGGGAAAGGGTAAGATTTAAAAACTAATTTCTTGTAAATAATTGTCTACCTTTCCTTCTTACAGGTGAGAAAAGATACAGAGGAAGGTCAAGCGATTTCTCTTGCACTACATAGGGCTCTGAAAGAAAGGTGGCTTTTATTACAGAAACTCTGAGACCGAAGAACTCTTTCTCTGATGCATTTTTCCCCCTGCGGCTGGCAACAGAGCAAAGATGCTGCTATTAGAAAAGATGATCTGAATTCCTCTCTTCATTTTTCTACAACAAATTTAAACGCCACTTGGCAATAACCGCTGTTTCTGGAATTGTGTCCTATATTTTAAATTTTTATTGCTTAGTTTGAATAAAATGGAGTCTCTTCTTAATCAAGGGTTAGTTTTAAAGTTAGTGCCTAAAGCAAAAATCTGTTGTGTTTAAACATTACCATGAACTTCCTTGAATCACACTTAAAGTTTAATATATGTGAACTGGTGCTTATAGAAATACACACTCACATTCACGAGTGGGAGTTGCTGAGCTAGCCAAAAGGGAGACATAGAGGGAGACTCTCCACGCAGGTGTCAGAGCATTTACTTCTGTCTTCCTTTAAGGACATTTTCAAGTTCCCAGGGTGAACGGGAAAGGATGGAGAGTTCCAAAGTGCTTTTTCTTGCCTGCAAGGGTGGCTCCACTCTGTTTCAATATTAAGCCATGATAACCTTAATACATAACATGTTTGTTGCCGTTTTGAGAATTAAAGAAGAAAAAATGAAAGCCTCTAGGGCACCATGGTACGAATGTTGGAAGTACTTAGAAAATATTTGCTGGCTATGGCTCTAACTCTTGAGTGATGGCTCTCATCTTTGAAAAATCATGGAGAAGAGCAGGGCCACCCCGTGCCTGTCACTCACCCCACGTGGGTTTTTCCTCTGTGGCCCCGTGAACAGCTGCTACTCTCTCACGTTGTTGGGTTGAACACTGGCCTCCCCTTCACAGGAGTTAGATTCTAAAACCACATGTATATTAAATGCATGTGTCAAGTGACTCCACACCATTCCTGAATGTCACCCAAAAAGTGTTATTTCCTAGTAGCGTGGAAATAATTTGAAGGGCCATACATCCACTGGAAGGAGAAGGTACTGTATCAAGGGGTCAAGATAACCCATAACTTAAAAACAAAATAGCTAAATTTTCTTCCAGGGATTTTTTTGTCAAAAAGGTCAAAGTGTTAGAAAAGCATTTACTCGTGACCTGTTCTGTGTATCAGTGGAACAACAGCAGCTGAAAGGAGGTAAGTGATTTTGTTCCTGCTTTAGCTCAACAAATATATTTGCAAAATACCCACTATAGGCAAAATAGGCTAGATATTCTAGGAGAGCTTACTCCTTATCTTACATCCTAACCTAACCCTAATGGGAATAACCTATGAACACAGTAGTAGTTAAACCTCTCAATTTTAAGAGGAGGCCAATTTTAAGAAGGTTATACTGTCTGTGATCGTCAAACCCAAGCTCATTTCTCTTACTTCCATGTACAATTTGACGACTGTGCCAATTGCAGAAATGATCTAAGGATCATTGCTCCCACTTAATCTGTACCCTAAATAGGACCAGTGTTCTATCTGGTGTATGGTTTTCTGTTTACAGTATCCATAAGGAATATGATGTACTGCATGTGGCCTGGAAAGAATCTCTCTGTTGCACACATGGTTCAGAACAGCTCATTTGTAGTGAGGATATCGTGACCCCCACATGAACTCCTTTGAAATTAATATTTACCTTTGGTTTTTCTCTCCACACCCCTCCCCTTTCTTTAAACCTTATATGTGCTGGTCAAATAAAGATTTTATGACTAGTTTAGAAAAAAAGGATACAAGTACAAGTATAATATTTTCTCCCTCTAGGTACTAGCTCTTCTTGACTATTTTATGTGGTACCACTCAGTTCCTAGGTGGATAAAGAGGAGATGAACAAGCTCCTTTTGGCCCTAGTTTGAGAAAGACTAGGATTTGCTTGGCTACTGTTCTCAGAGATGCTGATAAAGATCTTCCCTTTTTTCCCCTTGTTAAGTGTAACATCCAAAGCTGGCTGCACCAGATTAAATAGAGATGGTATCAGGACATGGCACATTTTATTCTTTTAAAAATATTATGAGATTAATGAATTAAGCAGGAACCACAAGTCATTCAGCATAATTCTTATACTATGCTGTTTCACAAAGATGTTAAATAAGTAATAATGTCTGCTTCTTGACTAATTTGAAGAGAAGCAATATAAATACACACACACATACACACACATCAAACCAAACCTACTGCAGAATCTTGAAAATTTCTTTCCATGAGTCCAAAGGCCAGAGAACGAGTTTGGCTGGAACCTTTGTAATTACCAAGGATACAAACGCAACTCAGCCTTTAATTGGAGCACCAGATTCCACTGTCTGCAGAGGTGCAGATTTCCTCTGGGTGGTTTTTATGGAGACAAAAAGGTTCACGGTTTTTCTTAAACATCACCGAGGACAACTGCTGGTGGCTCCCACTATGGCAAGTGGATTCCTAATTCAGGCTCTGTCCAAATCTACTCAGGTCTGCAGATGCCATGAAGATCAAGGGCAAATGAGGGATAACTTTCAGCTCCCCATTTTTCCTGCCCTCTGCAGGAACTCCGGCTCACTCCTCACCTCTCCAAGGCTGCTCTGGGCCCAAGAATTATCAGTGTCACCAGTGCAAGGAGGTTATCAGTGTGAGAAGGTAGATTAGTAGTTGTCAGTACAGGAAGGCAGATTAGAAGTATTAATAAGAGATGTTTAAAGACATGAGTACCGAAAGCAGCTTTTGGCCTGATAATCTGAAAAGCTGTAAAAACATTGGAAGAGGAAGTCTGAAGCACTTTACCAATGAGGATTGCAGGAAGTTTATGTATTGACCACCTCTTACTTTCTCTAAGTGTATCTTAGAAATGGATAAGTTATACCCATAAGTAGAACTTTAGACAGCCAGTCACTATTTGTAATTTCTGAATTATGTAAATTGATCTGAATGGTTTTAGGATGATCTTGGGAATATTAATTAACCTGGAAAAATGTTCATTTACAATGTGCTAGGCATTTATTTTTTTCACTTACTCAACATATTTACCAAAATCTATGGGGTATATACCCTGCTATGTACTGGGGGTATGAAAATGAACAAAAGCACTTACGTCATGTTTGAGTAGCTAGCGTGGTATTAAACACATACACAACGACAAAATAATGGCTGGCACTTAGTGCTTAGCTGTTCGATGCACTAGTCCTGTATTAACTCATGTAGACAGTGCCAGGACTCTGTGAGATACATATAACTGTTATTTCTATTTTACAGGGAAGTTAAGTAACTGCCCAAGGTCGCAGTGCTAATAAACGTCTGAGACCAGCTTCACGCCCACACAGCCTGGCACCCAAATCCACTATATTATTTCAGAGAAGTGTCATACTAGCAGTTTCTAAGTTTTCACTGAATACTCCACAATTTCATTTATTTTTACTCCAACTCTGCCCTGAAAAGATTCTGTACATTCATCAGTAATGATAAGAACTTCTGTTACCGAATGACATTCCCTGATGTGGATAAGGATTGCTAGGCCTATTTTAGGAAAAAGAAAACTCAAGCTCAAAATGTGCATTGATTTGTCACCTGGTTGTGCGTTCATCGAAAGTTTGAACACTAGGTGGCATACAAAGATGATAAAGACATACCTCTTTGCAAAGAGCCCAGACCAGTACTAAAGGAATAGGAAGAAATGAGCAATTAATGCCGCATGGAGACTTCTCAGAGGAAGTGATCTGTGGGATCACAGGTCCCTTTACACAGCACAACTCCCCTCTCGGACGTGATGTGAGGACTGAGCTGGAAATCTGTGTCCTCGGGTACTAAGGTAATTAAGCTCTCCTTTTTCAAAGTGATCTCAACCCAATTACCTCGGATCAACATAATCTCTTATGATCGATGTGATGTACTTGGCCTTGAAACTCCACATTCCTAATATTTCATTGCTCTCAATCATTCCAATAATGACTGAGTATCCAAAGACACTCATGAGTGAGTCACAGTAAAATTGAGTGTCTTGATTGTAAGACGATTAAATATGCACTGAGTTGTGGGCTGTCATACAAATGTAAGGTGCTAAAGTAGTCCTTGATTTTGATAGTTGTTTCTGGTATATATATTTTCATAATTGTGTGCTAATAGTTTAGCCCCATTTGTCAAATATTTGCTGTGGTTTACAAACCTTGTCTCTGAACCCTGGCTGGCATGGCTCAGTGGACTGAGTGCTGGCCTGTGAACCAAAGGGTTGCTGGTTCGATTCCTAGTCAGGGCACGTGCCTGGGTGGCAGGCCAGGTCCCCAGCTGGGGCTGTGCAAGAGGCAACAGATTGATGCATCTCTCAAACATTGATGTTTCTCTCTCCCTATTTCTCTCTCCCCTCCCTGCTCTTTAAAACTAAATAAATAAAACATTTTACTTAAAAAAAATAGAAAACTTGTCCCTGAGCTCTAAAACCAAAGGTTTCTAGACCATCTCTTAGAGGAAGTAGATGAGGGAGAGTAAATTAAGACATCACCTGCTTTCTCCATGAGGTGGTTTGCCTCATTATGACCTTCTCAAATTCTTACTCTCTCTGCCTACTTAAGGACATGTTCAGCATAAGGCAGAGACTTCTTACCATTCTATTCAAGACCCTTCCCAACAGACCCCTGCCTGCTTCTACCACTTTGGTCTCCTGTCACTCTGGACTTACCCCCTATGCTTTTGGCAAATGAATTACCTGAGGTTCCCCAAACACGGCATGACTTCATACCACCCATCCCTCCCCCAATCCCTTCTTGCCCAAGCCTTCCAAATCTACCTCAGTGGTCACATCCTCTACAGAAGCCTTCCCGACCTTCTTCCCCTGGGCCAGGTGAAGGCTGTCACCCTCGTGGTCCATCATTGCTTTTCCCATGGCACTCGGCTCTTTAGTTTCCTTGCCTCTCCTCTGAACTAGACCAAGAGCGTCTTGAAGGCAGAGATTGTACTTTTGTAACCTTAGCTCAGGCGCTCACATGATGGCTCACATGGTAACATACAACATATTAGTGGGACGCAAATGTGAAAGGAGGGAGGGAGGGAGGGAGGGAGGGAGTGAAAGCAAGTTGCTTTCATTTTTTCTAAGAGAAAGGGAGGTTGTTCTGGGGATCAGAAGTCTGAGACGGGCTGCTTAGGGTTATGAAACCAGATGTAATTATGCCTTCCTTGATGTCTAGTGACAATTAGCTTAATTTCTTGAATTCATTTATGTCACCTCAAATTCCTTCTGGATAATATTTTTTAGGTCCTCTATCTGGACAGGTTTTCTCTTTGAATCCATACAACTACTGTGTCATTTTAATTACTATTTTCCCTCATGTAAGCTAAAATGTAACTGTTTTGAAAGAGAAAAATAGTGTATATATAAATGAAAAAAATGCACCAAACCCCATGCTTAATCATTTTCTGTTCTACTGTAACAATAATGTTGCTACAGGCATTACTGTTTTGCATCACTGTAAATGTGGTGAAAAAGTAACATCAGCCTTTTAAAAAGACAGTAACTTTTCAGCAGTGAGTGCAGAAGCAGTGGAAGCCATGGCAGCCATTCCATTTCAAAGTGCTCTGGGTGTGCTCTCCTGGCTGCCGCAACTCCCTCTTTGCCTCTGCTTTTAGGCTGACCACACAAGACCCAGACCAGGGAGATCTGGCCTCTTCCCTCCGTTTGATTTCCCCAGTGAGATCATGTGCCTGGGAATGCAAATCATGGGATATAAAACTTTATGACTAATCAGCCATGTTTTATATAGCTTTAGGTTCAATCATCAGTGTTATATAAATATAGACTCACACTGTTCTGCTCTTGAAGCATATTATGTCTATTTATCATTTTGATTCAAACCACATTCCCTAAACAATGATAAATATATTTTGGGTAATCAACACATATTAACTAGAGCTTCCTTTTTGTGCTCGGGCTAGAAATATAATAAATAATATATAATCTAATGCTGACAATATGGAGGGACCAGGATGAGTTACTACATACAACAGGTGTTATGTTTCTGCTTCACGCCCTGCCCTCGCCACTCTTAGTAGCGTCTGGTGATCAGAGAGACTCCTCTCCAATCGGCTATCATTCAGTGTTGATAACCAAGCCCTACTTTTATTACTTGCTAAGTGATTTAGCAGATAGGTTCAGCAAACACAGTAGATAACTAAAATGGTGAGGAAGTATCTCAAGTTCTTGAGTTATATGGCCCAATCTCCGCTTGAATCCAGCGACGCTTAGGAAAAGCATGAGTAACAATACTCCCATGATCCTGTGTGCCAACATCGCCACCTACTGCTCCCTTCAGGTATACCTCAAGCCAAAGGCTGTAGATATTGGGTAAGACACAGACCAGATTTTGAGCCCTGGGTAGTTATCAATCCCTAGCAGGATTAAGAAATAGTCAAAGGCAGTGAGTGGGCACTGTTATCAATGCAGACAAGTAGTGATAATTACATGCTATTGAATTTCACAAATTGGAACTATATGGGCTTATAGATTTTAAAAATGTGAGCATTATACCAAAATCAGATTAAATAATCAGGATTTTGTAAAATTTTGTAAAAAAAAGTAAAAAACACCATTTATAAGTTTTGAAAAGAATTTCTTTCTTTAATTTAAATGAATTTACCCACTACCTTATTTCATCATTTATCACTTCTTAATAATATAATAAATAGTTAACTTCAAGAATCATAATTAAACATTTCCTTTCCAAACTCCAGCTTCTATTTTTGCTGAGGAAAAGTACCCATCATCTTTCACACTGAATTCTTATATTTGGAGCTGGAAATTATTTCCTTGACGCCTAGGAAAGGGAGAAAGAATAAGAATTCTATACCTTCCTGAGGGCACTCGGCTGTAGAGAATGCTACGGTGTGGGTGAACCCCAACCGAACTTAGTATAATTTGAATGTCATGGCATTCAAACGATAAAAAAAGGGATCTAGAAATCAAGTCTGTAGGGTTAAGAAACACGAGTTTTCAGGATCTGACCTGAATTACTGCATGAGTTTAAAAACCCACTTTGTTCTTCATTAAAAAAAATTACTATTGTAGCCCTGGCTGGTGTGGCTCAGTGTATTGAGTGCCAACATGTGTTCCAAAGGGTTGCCGGTTCGATTCCCAGTCAGGGCACAGGCCTGGGTTTTGGGCCAGGTCCCCAGTGGGGGGTGCATAGGAGGCAACGAGACATTGGTGTTTCTCTCCCTCTCTTTCTGCCTCCCTTCACCTCTCTAAACATAAATAAATAAAGACTTAAAAAATAAAAAGAAAGGCAAGACCTAGGCCAAGGGAAGTCAGTTCAAGTTTCTGTTTTTAACCTTACGGTTTCCATGCAGAAGGCTTGCACTATTCATATGTTTTTCTTACCTGATAAATAAAAGAGGATTTTTTAAAAAAGAAAGACCTCTTGGTAAAAATTTCAAGCTTTTTAAACCTTGGTATATTTTATGCTAATTCTCTTCCTCCACGAGAAACACTACAGGGACGGGCACAGCTTCCTTCCTGCCCCCAGAGAGACCCAGGACCACTCCAGGATAAAGCCCTCGTGGGGGATTTTTTAAGAGTGACTCTTAATTTGTCAAAGCATTGAGTCTCTCAATGTGGAAAACCAAATAACAGCCACAGTAGTAATATATTTTAAAAGGTCTTCTCTGCTGCCACCAATTTTGAAACTCTTCATGAAACTGCAAGTGATGTGCTCCAGCCTGTTGAAGTAATGGGTCCCTTACCAGCCTGCCCTGTTTCCCTAAAATCACCAACTTGATCTCACACTGACCTTGTTGGCGCTGTTAAAAAAATCATTTGCCCTTTTCAACCAGCTTTCCCTTTCCACGATGAGCTGGCCAAATGCTTCCTGAAGCCGACTCAGTTTCTGGTGAGAGAGCTGCAGACGCTCCTCCTCCACGTGGTCTCCAGACAGCAGGGTCTCGGGAGCCTCACTCTTCAGCTTCTCAAGGGTGGAGTTCCATTCCTGCAAGAGATCACTCGCTTCAGTTCACTTTGCACACCCTCCCCTTGTTACAGGGCCGCAGAACATTTACATCTGCCGCTGTATTCTCAAATCCTGCAGTAGGAACTGCTACATTCCAGGTATGAGTACCAAACTGTAGATTCAAAAGAAATAGATAACACAGAAAAGAGGCTAAAAAGGGACAGGAGATGATAGCAGAAAGGGGCAGGTTGGGATGTGCAGTTGCCCTTAACACGGGTCACTTCCACTCCCGTTAATACTGCCTGAAAACATACCAAAATAAAATCAACAGCATTTTTCAGTTTCTAACTCATTTTGACCTACCTTTATTCATTTATGCATAAAAAAGTCTCTCTCCTACATTCAGTTTCATTGCCAATGTGGGCAAATGCGTACAAGAAAGAAAGGGAAACCTCATATTTTATGGCTGCTGCTTTGCATTTGCCTACACTTAGAACCGAAATGAACAGCTGCTATTCTCCACAAAATTAATAGTTGTGATTGTGCAGTATTCCCTCCTCCCTGACCTATTTCATCTCTCAATGCTTCACTCTTAATGATACATAAACATTCCAGAAAAAGGAAAGAGTTAGCTTTTTACTTTCTTTTGTTAAAAAAAGATTTTATTTATTTATTTTTAGAGAGAGGGTAAGGGAAGGATAAAGAGAGGGAGAGAAACATCAGTGTGTGGTTGCCTCTCCCTCGCCACCTACTGGGGACCTGGACCGAGTAACCCAGGCATGTGCCCAGACTGGACATTGAACCAGCGACCCTTTGGTTCACAGGCTGGAGCTCAATCCACTGAGCTACACCAGCCAGGGCAATAGCTTTTACTTTCTATTGCATGGGGATGAAAAACAGTAGGGAGAGAAGAAAGGAAATAAGAGTTACCAATCAAACATATTAACACTCAATTTATTTGAAGGGAAATTTATATTTCTTGCACAAAAAGAAATGAATCCAGATCCAGGCTCATCAGTGAAATTTCCGGCTTCCAACTCAGCTGAGACAGAGTGCTAAACATAGGCTGTTCATAAAGCATTGGAAATTTAGGACCAAATTTCAAAAATCACAATCTGACCCCCTCATGACTTGTTCTATAGTGGAAAATGTCCTGTTATTAAGTTACATTTGTTATATTATATTGGATAAAATAAGTATAATTTTACTGCAATTTACCACTGCTATTTCCATTCATTTATTTCACAAGGCATATGAAACACCATGTACCCAGCACCAGGCTGGATGTCTTAGGAAATACAAATAAAGAATAAAATGTAGCTCTTTCTTTTCATGATAAATACATAAACTGCTATTTTAAATACTTTTTGTATATATCTACATTATTAAATATATTAAATAAATGCTAGTCCTACAACCATACACACAGATTATCTGGTAATATTTAAATAACAATTAATGAATGTCAAAAGTAAAATAGTATACATATTATTGTATGGACTCCATAGAACCTGTTCTAATATTTGTGCAAGAGACAATATTTTGATCAGTGGATGTAAGGCTAAGGATCAAGGGATTGGCATTTTCAGCACCTATTATAAACCTGTGGCTTGTAAGTTTCAACCTCATGATTTTAGGTCAGATATTATTATTTTTCCAGTATTTACAGAGGCTCAAAGGAGTACGTTGCTCACAGTTACCTATACAACCTGTAGCAGAATCAGGACTAGTTCACAGGTGTGTATATAAAGCTACATTCCAGGGAATGGAGGATAAAGAGACTCCAAAATCTCCAAACTTCTCAGTGAGGGAAAAACAATACTCTCAGGCATGAATAGGGCTGAGTTCTCAAGATCCTTCCTTATTTGAAGAGTTATTTTGTTCCCACTTAAGGACAGCTAGTATGTGCCAGGCCGTTCTTTCATAAAGCACTGCAAATATCCCTCCCACTTAAAAACCATTACCTTAACTTCAATGGGAGAGAGCAAATATTTTCCAGGCAGTTAGCACACTTCTGGCACACATAATAGGCACTCACTAAATGCCTGGTCCCACTTTTCTTCCCATCAGTTTTATTACGGTTCATTAGTACCCTAACGTTGGCTCTTTATTTGGGGCTATTCTTGTTACCCAGCCGTAAAATAACAACAGTGGAAAGATCCTCCAAATGGTATTGATCAGTGTTGTGTATTGATCAGTATTAAAGTATAAACACAATACAGCAGGTTTCTTCACTGCAGTACTTCCCAGGATCTTTAATATGTTCATATGCATTGAAACTCCTGGAGGGAAACCTGCGTGAAATATTTTGAACACACCTACTGACCAAGAAACCATTGACTTGCTAACACTTCAGGGGACCGATGCCCCAGCTGAAACAATGTCGGGAAACAACACTTCTTGTGGCGAAGACCGGAGGCATCAGCTAGGCGTTCACCTGCTTTCACGAGTCTTTCTGATTCTTTCCTCTCTTGTCCCTATTCCTCCAGCTCCTCAATCAGTCCATTTCCTCTCTCTTGTGTCCATTCTCTCCTTTTCTGTCTGTTCGTTTTTATGGGGCATTAATCCTCAGCAACCTCAGGTGAAGAAGTGCTTAACATGTGATGACAGAATAAAGCAGGTCATTCTTTAAAAAAATTCAACACTGACCAGAACCTTCTGTGCTCATCAGAGGAATATCCCGTAAGGAACACGGAGGGCCCGGGGAAGGCTTGGGAAGCTAGCGGGGAGGGGAATGGAGAAGAATTTGGGAGGTGGAGGAACAGGTTACAGACACCATGTGCTCAGCCAGGACAACACTAAGCTCTAGAGCAACCATTTTCAACATTTTTCATCTCGCAGCTCACATCAACTGCTATGATTAAAATTCTTCAGCCCACTGATCTGACCAAAAACACGTAGGTATAATTTTGCTTCATTCACACAGCACAGCTATTGTTGTGTTAATGGTTGTCATTTATTTATTTGACAATCTAAGGGAAAAGATCAGTGTCTCTGACTAAATAGTCAGGTGTAGTCTTAACTGCAAGACAGTAAGGGTGGATTTTTCTTTCTACACGCCAGCGCTGTGCTAAACGATTTGCACACATTGTCTCATTTCATCTCCACCACACTGCTACAGGGTTGGACCTATCATTTTACAGAGGGGGTGTCTGAGGCTCAGGGGGACCCTGCCCAAGGTCTCAGTAATAGTAAGTGAAAGAGTGCCAATTCAAACTTGGGTAGTTTTACCTTAGAATCTGCTCTGTCAACAAGTATCCTAGCCTTAGCTTTTCATAGAGGTCACATACAGTGTTCTTTAAACCACACACAGATTGCAGTAACCGTAACAGCTTACAATGATAAAGGTGAAACTTCCATAAGGCTTGGAAAAGGCCATGGAAATAACAGAAGTTCTATACGGCCCTTGGATTTTGTGATTTGAAATCAGAAACCTCACTGTTTCTAAATAAACACAATGCTATTATAGATATAATTGAGAATTTACAGCCCAAATTCAAGCTGAATTTTGCTTAGCAACCATACCAAAATAAAAGAGCACTTTTCTATGAATAAGAGAAATGCCTGCTCTCTCAGAGTGTCCATAAATCTGCCTCTGGCATAAATCCTGCAGGCGGCATTAAAGGGAAATGCTGGGGCTCTGACCTGGTGCTTCCCCACTGTGCTGCAACACGTGGGCTGCGGCCCCCCAGGGAAACACTCAGGGGCCACTTTGTGCTCCTTATCTTCCCGAATTCTCCAGCCCCATCTTCTTAATTACATTTTCACATGAACTCTGTGGGTGTTCAATGAGGCTGGGTCTATTCAATATTTCTATTCAATCCTCTAAGAAAAATTGGTTCTGTTTTCTTTGGGCACACTATGGGCCATTTCTGGTGCACTTCTGTACCACTTTGATGATGTTTTTCTCCAGTCGTTTTTCTTAGGGGACGCTTTCACTGCTTTATGTTTAAGATAAGACTTTCCAGAGTTGTCTGAATCCATCAAACCACTTAAACACTTTCATCGTCACTGTTGTCAAGGCTGGAGGGACCCAGCGGTGATAATCTCGGTCCATTTTCTCTCAGCCATGGCTGCCTGCCTGCTAAGTGTGAAACCTCTGACTGAGTTTCAATCACTTTGCGATAAAATATTTCTAGTACTTGTCCCCACCAGCTGAAAGCCAGAGCCTGCCATTTCCTTGGCTTTTCAGTGTGACAGGGAGACATGTGTGTCCCTGACCCAGTGAAGACGTGAGGCACTGTGTGTCCCTCCCTGGGCTCGGGTGCCTCCACCGGCTGCTCCGTTATTCTCCTTCTTCACTCACGGCGGTAAACCCTTTAAACTGTACACTTCAGCATTCCATTTGCTGAGGAAATTGAGCTTTCTTGTAGATCCTTTGACTGAAAGGGTACTTTTAAGAGGATTGGGGCTGATGGACAAAGTGAAAATAATTTGTTCTTTCCTTTTTTTTTTTTTTAAACAGTCCCAGGTTAGCTCTTCACATGAAGTTATAGATTTATGGATTGGCGTAAAAATACTCAGCAAGTAGATTCAAAAAATAAAAATATTAGGTTCACCATTAGAAAAAAAATAGAATCCCAATATGTTGAGTAAGCTATTTTTCACATGAGAACAACTCTGTACATAAGGAGATTTAATGATTCAACGCCATGTGGTAAATTATTTCTGTTTATAAAATTGACTTCAGAATGTAATTGTTAGGTGGGAGAAGATGGGCAAAAAGGAATGACGAAGAACATATTTGTAAACTACTAAGAAAATATCAGTTGTGAAGAACACTAGTGAAAATCACATCTGGCAAAGCGTGTGTCGTGCTCATGTGCAGTTCCTATAACACGGCTATTTGTTAGGACACCTCATTAGACACAGCCCATTTCTTGTTCATTCATTCTCTGAGTCTACCAGCTGGCCCACTTGGTGCCGCATCCAGCAGAACGAACTCAGTGACACAGAGTCCTAGAATTTTATATGACTTCCACAACAGATGGTACTAACACAATAAACCTGGCAATTTTCATCCAAGAACATTTAGAAGT